TCAAAAGGGCCCAGAGAGGATAGAGGGGTGAATAAAACCACTGCCCCTTCTGCCCTGGGCTCTTGGCCTTGTTTCTCCGAGCAGCGTGGTATCCGCCTCTGTGCTCAAGCTAGTCCCATCTGGCCTGGGTTCTCCTCATTGAAGTCCTGCCTGTGTTCTCTGGGTAAAGGCTGACATGTCAGAAGGGGTCTTCTCCAGTGACCCAGACAAATCAGTGGCCTGTATTCAGGTAGGGAAGGAGCACAGCTGCCTCCTCCTGGACCCTGCAGTGTGCACCTCCTCTCTGTTCCCCACCCCTCAGCCCCAGCTATGCTCTGGGAGCTTGATTTTCTGACAGGCAGGGAGCAAGGAAGATGTTCAGCCTTGTTGCGACTGCTTTTCCTCCTCCCTTGCCTTGGCCATTGCCCATGTGGCATATCCTTTCAAGACCCAGAGAGCCAGCTGGGAAGGTTCTTCCAGAGCAGGGGTAAGCTGGGTCAGACATTCCTTTCTTCCTTAATCCCTCAGCGAGACTCCCTTGTACTCAGGCAGAGGTTTGTGCTGTGGCCAGTCATGGGGGATCAACCATTTGAGGCAGGGCCAGGAGCTGCTCTCATCAGACTGGAAAAGGGAGTTCTTGATCTACTCATCCTCAGCTGTGTGACCTTGGGAAAATAACTTAACCTCTCTGGGCTCAGTTTTCTCACCTGTAAAATACCTACTTCCATGGGCCATCACAAGGATCAAATAGGATTAAGTGTAAGAGAATTTCCTGACAGAGGGCAGGCACACAGGAGGTTCTTAATAAGTATTTGTGAAAAGGAGGAGTTGAGGGTCCTCAGGCCTAGCAGGGGAGCCTGAGTAACAGGGTACTGTGGCTGATTGGGGCTGGATGTGCTGATAAGAGTAAGGGGCTTCTGTCTTGAGACTTTGCCCCTTCTGAATTGGGATAACTGGGAGAATGTGGGAGGGGGAAGCAAAAGAAAAAGGTATAGTTCCTTCTCTTTTCCCATCCTCTACCTTTGTAGCTGGGACACATCTCTTTCCTCATGAGTTGGGCCCCTTCCATGAATGGGGAGGGTCCCTGACTTCTTCAATCACTAGAATCTTGCTGCCTGGTAACTCATGAGGTTGCCCCACAGAACTTGCAGATGATGGTTATGAGTATTGAGAAAGATACTGTATGCAGTTTTTAACTTGAAAGAACAGGTAGGGCAGGGATGTTCCAGGTCCATCGGTGGGGGCGCTTTAGGAGAGAGAGAATCCGAGTAGTCTTTGAAAGGAGGGCCTCTCTCCTCCTTAATGCTACCATCTTTCAAGCATAGTAATGGAGACTGCCTTCTCACTGGATGTGCTTTCTGGAGCCACAAGCCGGAGGTGCACATCTGGGTGTCCCACAGGAGAGGGGCTGCTCAGGGAAGATAATGGTAGTGATAATGGCAGCTAATGACATTTACTGAGCACCTGGGCTATATACCTCCTGCCACACTTACTCCAATTCCAGGGCTATATAGCTTAGCTCACCGCAGTGATGCATAGCCTTTACATGAAAATTCAGAGCCACCAATAGGGAAGAGGGAGAGGTGCACTACTTCATGAACCTCACAAGAGGATTCTCCTTGGTGGTGGTGGTCGTGGTGATGATGAATCTAAGAAATCGCTCCATGTGTGTGTTTATGGTAATAGTCCATGTCTAAAATGTTGATTTAGGGGCTCCTGGGTGGCTCAGTCACTTAAGCATCCGACTTCAGCTCAGGTCATGATCTCACAGTTTGTGGGTTCAAGCCCCGCATCAGGTTCTGTGCTGACAGCTCAGAGCCCGGAGCCTGTCTTCGGATTCTGTGTCTCCCTCTCTCTCTGACCCTCCCCTGCTCATGCTGTCTCTGTATTTCTCTCAAAAATAAATAAAACATTAAAAAAATTTTAAAAATGTTGATTTACCTGTCTGGTTTTAGAGAACGTGTTCAGAGAACTAAGCTTTTGGGTCTACAGATGCCCTTCCTGTAGGCAGGAGAGGTATTTCAGGACCCTGGAGAGCACCCCAAACTCTGAAGGTGCGTGGAATGAGGAGTTGGATCTTTTGGAACAGGTTCATCCTGGGAAGTCATCATATGCATGGGACCTGGGCCTAGGGGCAGGGACATGACTTACCCAAGTAATTTAGTAAGTCAGTGGTTTCATGTTTCCGTGTGGTTGACTGCCTGGGACTGTGTCCTTCAGAACACAAGCAAAAGGAGGGGCAGTCTAGTTTGCTTCTCTGTGCTGAGTCTGCAAAGACACAGGTGTCACTTTCTGCACTCTAAAAAGTATGTGCAAATAGCAATATTGTAAGTCAAATCCTACCCCCAGTACCCTGGGTGGCTCTGGGCTTGGGGGCAGTAGATGGCTGTTTTGATGGGCAATGTGGTGAGTGGTTACAGTCATGGCCTCTGCAACCTCACTGTTTGAAACTGAATCTTGGCTCTGCCTCTGCCAAGCTGTGCAAATTTGGGCACATTGCCTAACTTCTCCATTCTTCAGTTTCCTTATCTGTGAAAGGGGTATGATAAAGCACCTACACCATAGGGTGTTGTGAGAATTAACTATAATATATAAAGCACTGAAAGGAATGCTTGGCATGTGGTTAGTACAGTAAAATGTTATTATTTTAAAACCTAAGCATTTCTGCCCCAGCTCTGATGCATGCCCAGGTTCCACCCATGGTATCCCCAGACTTGGTTACAGGGTCAGACTTGGAAGAGGCAAATATTTCCTGGGCTTGTAATTTGTTGGAGTGTCTCGGAAGCACTGGTTTGGGAACTAGGAGGACCGAGTGCCCTGGCCAGGAGCTCCGGAACCCTGAGGGGAGGTTGGGTCCTGGCACCAGCTCCCTCCCTGTGCCTTCTTCATAGAGGTTCCAAGCATGGTCTTGAGCAGCCAGCAAGGTCCAGGCTCAAATCTTGGCTCTGGGGCTTATGGGAAATGACCTTGGGCAAGTCATTATTAGACTGTTTGAGACTCATCTGTGTCTGGCTATAACGACACCCCTGACATGGTTGTTCAGAGGATGAAATGAGAAAGTGTAGGTAAAAGGCCAAGCACAGATGCTATAAAGGCTTTGTAGTGGTGGCTGTCACATGGCTGTCTTCCTGATGTCTCTTTCATTTTGGGTCTCTGCCACTCCCCTCTCCCTCCTGATGGATGAAGTTCTCACTTCTTCTGGACTTCCTGGCTTGGTCCAATCCAGAGGATGTGGGCATCTCTGGAATCAGCCCATCCAGGACCAAACCTCAGAGAGAGGCTTTTATTTTATTGTTGTTGTTGTTGTTGTTGTTATTATTATTATTATTATTATTATTATTTTGATATTTATTTCTGAGAGAGAGAGAGAGCATGCATGTGTGCATGCATGAGTGGTGGAGGGGCAGAAAGAGAGTGGGAGACAGAGGATCCAAAGCTGGCTCTGCACTGACAGCACAGAATCTGATGTGGGGCTTAAACCCATAGGTTGTGAGATCATGACCTGTACCGAAGTCAGATGCTTAACTGACTGAGACACCGAGGCGCCCCAGACAGAGGCTTTTAAAAGATAAGAGAGGTGCTGGTCTCTGGTGACCCATTTCATGTAAGCTCACCTCTTCTCTACACTTTGCCTAAGCAGAAATGCCCTGGATTTCTAAATAGCTCCTTTGTCCGGTAGCACTGGGCAGACACCACCCTCCACCTCCAGCTTTGCCCCCTTTCCAATAGCAAGTGGTGAAACATTTATCCTATTAACAGCTCAGATTTGACAAGTATGAACTGGGTGGGTTCTAGGTCTTATCGCATAGGTTGTCTCATTTATAATTAGCTTTTAATTAGCGTCTACTTTGTGTTTGGCAATGTAGGAAGCACTTTACACATCTTTTCTTATATAATCACCCAACTGCCTTTAGAGGTAGCTATTATAACTAATTTTATTTCACAGGAGAGGAAACTGAACCCTGGTTGGGTTCAGTGATGCTTGGGTCACATGGAGGGGGGCCTTGAAGCCGCAGAAAGGAAGCTTGTAAAGTACTTCACATAGTGCCCAGCATGCTGAAGGGGTCCAATAAAAGATGACAGCCCAGTCCATCCTAAGTACCCTCTCCAGAACCCCTAACTGAGATGACCTCTCTTCATGCCCTCTCTCCCATCCTGTTACCAATTCTTCTAGGGGTCAAGAATGCATTAGTTTGCATTTCAGCTAGGCACAATGGTGGAGTAGAGTAGAGGTGATGGCCAACGGAGCCGGGGTGGGGGGAACGGGACACAGAAAATGGCCACTGACTCCACTCATGGCTAAGGCTCCTTTTCTTTTGCTTTTGTGGTCATGTCCAAGAGGGACCTCCAGGGGCCTCTCTGCAGAGTCAGCATGAAGTGATGTCTGATTGTCATGTCTTATTAGTGGATTATTCATTCTGCCTGGGAATTTGAACACATCCCCTGCAGTTTCTCTGGCACTAGGGTGGGGGTGGGGAGTGGGCCAGGACTTCAAGGGCTTCAGGTTCCCTTCTGTCACTATCACAGAGTCTGGCCTTGATTATGATCTCTCTGAGATACCCACCTGGGTCGCAGAGGAGACTTGGCTTCTCAATGTGGCTCTGCTATAGGCAACTCACCATTGGACTCAGGACAGGTCTTTGTCCCTCTTTGGGCTTCGGTGTCCTCATCTGTAAAATGGGAGGGTAGGACTGGCTGTTCTCTGAAGGCTTTCCCAGCCCTTCCACACAGTAAAGTAAATACCACAGAGAATCCCTCTCCCCGCTTTGCCTGCCTTTCAGAGGATATGTAGGAGAGGGTGGGGACAGAGGACCTGGGGTAGAATAAAATGTGAGGAATGAATCAGAGGGAGAAGTCTCAGTGGTTCCTAGCTCTCTGGCTTGAGCAATTGGTCAATTGGGGTGTTGTTTATCAAGATAGGGAAGAAAAAGAGGCAAGAGTACTTCGGGGAGGGATGATGAATTCAGGTTTGGATCCATTGGACTTGAGGTATTTCAGGGATGGGCCTAAGCTAAGCCAACATGGAGGTGAGTTGGGATTTGAACCAGGTTTATCTGTATCAAGGGCCATGTTCTGTCTAGCACATCACCCCAGGCAGAGTGTGCAGTGCACAGTTGAGCTACTGAGGGCCAAGGAAGGGTCAGAGAAGGCTTATGTTCAGGGCAGGACCAGCAGCTGGGAATATTGGTGGTAGGGGAGAACAGAAGGCTTAATCAGGGAAGGTCTCCTGGAGGAGGAAATTGAATGTTATGTTCTATAGATACCAAGAGAGGGTGAGGTCTGAAGGGGAACAGGACAGAAGCATAGTCAGAAGGGTCCTTGAAGGTCATGCTCAAGAAGATGATGTGACTTGGTTGAAGTCACACTAGATAGTCACAGAGCCAAGATTCCAACCAGGTATGACTTACTCCATGGTCTCTGTTCTTAACCCTCTGCTCTCAGGGCATGAGACCTGGTCAGGGGAGAGGGGAGGGCCAGGAGCTAGACAATGGCAATGGACTTGGTCCCTCTTAATTCAGACACATTTTCCGCAACCCATATGTGGTCAAATTCCAGATACATGAAACAACAGAGTTCTGTACCTTGAAGTCACAGAACACAAGAACTGGGAATGTCCTAGTTTTAACACAGATCTGACCCTAGGTACAGGATTGCTCTTGAATGTAGAAGGCATGTATACCTGCTTAGCACCTTTGAGCTAAGGTGCACACAGGATCTCCCCTGGCCCCCAAACTAGTCTGTCACTACACCCAAAAGTCCATTAGTGCACCCTGACCTTGGAATAGACATTGCCCAACTGGCCCTTCCAAAGACGGAGCACATCTTTGGCACAGAGGGCACTTACCAGCCACTTTTTTCCTGGGCAGAAGGGGTGGAGGTGCCTGGGGGGACCTTTCCCCCTGGCTCTGCAGAAGGCCAGCCTGCCATTTGAGGGTCTGGCTTGCCGGGCAGAAGGGCAGGGAGCCACTGGGCACAGCAAGCTGTAGCGGTGGCAGCAATGGTAAGTGCCAGCAGCTCGCAGTGAATATGCAGTGTCAAATGGGGTGCATTACTCTCCGTGCAAATTAAAAATTAAAATTAATCAAACACTCAAATTGATTTCCTTCCCGTCTGTTTGTTCTGTTGTGCCAGTCAGATGCCTGCCTGCCCTCCTGGTGCAGTTGAGCCCAACTCCAGGCCAGGGCTGGGCAGCTCAGGCTGTTGCAGAGATCGATGGGTTGGGCTTAGGAGCTGTAAGCACCTCATTCTCACCTTGGGAAATCTGGTAGGGGTCAACCTAACCAGGTCCTCAAGCCTGACACCTGGTGCTGGGCTTGCAATGGGGGGAAGGTAGGAAAAGAGCATCACTCTGGTCTAGAGGAAACACTCACATTGGGCTGGGAGGCAGGACCCTAGGGAATATTCATGTGGCCATCATCGACTGATCTCAGTTTCCCCATCTGTGGAATGGGGAGAGAGAGAGACAGATAGAATAAGTCGCCCCTGGTTCTTGCACTGGCTTATGGTCTGGACTGGCCTTCCCTAGGGACGGACTTATCTCCAATCCCCAACCAGCCAGGGTCCCTGACTTCCCCAGCTATGCCTTGATCTACCACTTATCACTGGGCAATATTGGGCAAGTCACTTAACATCTCTGAGCCTCCATTTCCTTCTGGGTAAAATGCGGACAAGAATACCAGTGCGTGGAGGGAAAGGAGCATACAAGTTTAATGGGATCAACACCCGTGGTGGGGAGGGAGTGAGGGAACAGAGTAGGCAGAGGGAGAAGTGGGACTTTGACACCTTCAGAGTGCAGATCCATGGCCAGCTCCGGGCCTGAGCTGTCTGACGGGTTGACCTGAATGGGGTGAGAGTGTCGGGCCTTTATTCCCAGCTTTGACCAGGTGTTGGATGCAGCTGTCTGTGGAAGGACAGGCCTTGGGCAAGGAGCCTCCCGCTTCAGCTGAGGGGAAGGTACTCATCTGTGGCCGGCCAACCTCGACACTGCCAGCCCCAGGGAAGAGTGTTTCAGCCAGAAGGGAGTCTGGGTAGGGCGTTGGCGTGACCCCTCCCTGCAGACAGTCAGGGGAGGTTGGGGTGAGGGTCCCCTGGAACAAGGTTGTGAACCTGGCAGGAGTCAGCGTATAGTAAGCCGCTGTCATTCTGTTGAAAAGGCCTTGGGGACTCCTTTCCTTTTGCCTTCACACCGTGACACTCACAGCCCTGTCGCAGGACTTGGTGAGTGTCAGGATGTGAAGGCAAAGGAAACCTTCGAAGTTCTATCATCCTCCCATGACATTCAAGGACCTTGGTGACCAGACCTTGATCCCCTGTCCTGCCGCCTCCCAGCATTGCACCCCCCTTGACAGTGTGGGTGCTTTCTTACGTTTCTGCAGTCCTCCCTCCCTCCCTGCATTCAAACACCATCCATGTAGCCAGCTCCTACTCCCCGACCCCCTGCCGTGGCCAGGCCTGGGCTGGTGGGTGTGGTGGGTGCTGAGGAATCAGAGGTGACCCGGACCCAGTTGTGCTCTTCCACCCCGCCCCCACGTTTCTTCTTCTCTAGCCCCCCACCCCCCTGCGAATTCCGATGCTCCTTCAAGGGCAGCCATTCCATGGCCATTTTGGGAGGGCCGGATCAGGCTGATGCCAGCCCAGGTGAATGCAATGGGCCCCCTCCTCACCTCTGAGGCTCAGGGCCAGGCTCCAGGGGCTCCTGACTCTCGGTCCTATGACCCTGCCAGCCTTGAAGCCCCCGCACTAACCGGAACTTGGAACCTTGGCTTTCCTCTGTGGGTATGACTGTTCACGTGCTTGTCTGCCCACAGCCTGTGAGTTTCCTGAGGACAGGTCCCCATGGGCCTGTTGCAGAGTATACCTTCTGTGAGTGGGAGCTGAATGGCAGGTCTGAAATTCCCCCCCCCCACCCATAGCCATGTACCCCACCCCCTGGTCCTTAAACGCTCCCTACCCCACTGGCCTCCCAAACTGCAATCTAATCCCATCTCTGAGTAACATGCAGGGTCCCCTGTCTGCCCACCACTCCTGCCGCTTGAGTCTATGTCTCCCAGTGGTGTTGATCTCGGGCTCCTAGGAGGGTGCTTGGCAGAGGGCCAGTGCCCCTGAGAGATTGTCGGACCCTCCAGCTTCCCTTGTCCTCTCTCTTACATAGGGATACATGAGGAGTAAAGAATTCTACCCTTCTACGGATGGGAAAACCAAAGGCTCAAGGATCCCATTCAACCCCGGGGCCTGCTGCTGGCTTAGCGCCCTCGCATCCCTCCTGCATCCCTGAGCTTACCTTCCCCAGACCTTCCAGATGGAGCATTCCAAGGGGCTTTCCTCTTCCTCCAACTCCTACCTGGGCCCTCACACACTTCCTCCCATCAGATGTCCGGGAGTGCCTGTCGGTCTAGAAGAGGTGAATTAGATCCTTGGGCCCGGGGACCCCAGGACCTAGAATCTGGCTCTGGTGGGATCATTTTCATTGTTTTAGTTTTTCCATCTCCTTGTTACAGGCTGTGGTCAGAATCAACCAGAGATGGCAGAAAGGGCCAGTCCTGTCATTGCTTTACAGGTATGGGGGACAAGGAGGGGCAGGCATTGCCCAGAATTATTTAGTGGAGCCTGAGCCAAGGTCTTCTGTCCCCCTCACCATGCTGCCAGTTCACTGTCCAGTCTGAATCCTCAACATGCCCCTCCCTGTGCTAGGGTCTGGGCTTTAGAAAACAGGGTTAGGAGGGCACCTGGGTGGCTCAGTCAGTTAAGCGTCCGACTTTGGCTCAGGTCATGATCTCACAGTTTGTGAGTTTGAGCCCTGTGTCAGGCTCTGTGTTGACAGCTTGGAACCTGAAGCCTGCTTCAGATTCTGTCTCCCTCTCTCTCTCTGCCCCTCCCCTGCTCATACTCTGTCTCTCAAAAATGAATAAACTTCAAAAATAATTAAAAAAAGAAAAAAAAATAGGGTTAGAAAGGGTCCCTGGGTGAGGGGTGCTGAGTGCGGGGCTGGGAAGCAGCTGGAGAGGCTGTAGGATGCTGTCCTCTGCTTTATGTCTCCAGAGACAGTCCAGAGCCACCAGGCTAAACTCCCAACTCCTTACAGAGCCCTCTAGAAACTGCTGTCCTGGTCCCATGCCACCTGCAGCGCCATCTTCAATCCTCTCTGCTTGTGCTCTGACCGCATGCACTTTCTCTCCTTCCCCTCACTGTGGGGCCTTTGCACATGCTATTCCCTCTCTCTGGCACCCCTACTCCTGAAAATTAATGTCTATCCAGCCCTCTGGCTCTAGGTCAAATGTCACATCCCACAGGAAGCCTTTCCTGACTCCCAACACCAGCCTGGGCCTCTACCTACCAGCCCCACAACTCTTCATAGCACTTGTTAGAGGTGTAATTCCACATCTCTTTGCATGATGGTTTGAATTGTTTCTCCCTCCAGATTCTAAGTTCTCTGATATGTATCCCTCACACCTGGCACAGCACCTGACATGGAGTAGGCTCTCAATCAATGTTTGTGGAAAGGATGAAGAACAATGGCTCTCAGTTAAAATCCTGGACCTTCATGCTAAACCTTGGCTTTCTCTTCTTTGAAATGGGAAGGATAACACCAGGATCAGTGTGAGGGTGAACCAGTGAATAAAGCCTCCTGACACAAAGTTGATTAAGAGTAAAGAGGAGGAAGGGGATTGGAGTGGGCAGGGGGTAGTTGAGGAAGGCCGTTGAGGTGTGGAAGGGCTTGCAGGTGGGTGGGTTGTGTAAGACAAGTGTTAGGAACAGATGGGAGAAGACTGGAAGTGGGGAGATGGGATGGGAGACGACAAGGAGACAGCCTGGCTGGGTGGGGCAGTTCTTTGATTCTCTAGTGGCCCTATTTATGCTTCAGCCTGACCCAGGAAGCCTGGGGTTAGCTGAGAAGGCAGGCAGGAAATGCCTGCTGCCTCCTGGGACTCCATGTGGGCCACTCAGCCCTGGGCCGGACCTGGCGTGGTGATGGGGTCTGGGACACTGCCAAGGTCTCCCCAACCAGCCTACGGAGAAAGCTGAAAATAGCAGAGGGGCCCTGGGCAGGCATCTGCGGGGGCACTGACCCAGCCCTTGCGGCAGGAAGCGGCCAGCTCCCGGCTTCTGGTGAAGAAGCTCCTTCCTGGAGCTGCCCACACTGGTCTGGCCCCCAGCCTCTGGCCCCCGGCCCCCAGATGCCACTGCTCCAGCAGTGAAGTGATTCCTCTATGTGGGCCTGTTCATTATTCATGCTTTGCTTCTCTGTAAAGCCTGCTGGGAAGCAGAGGTGGCAATGGCTCCTGGCCACTAGTAACAAAGGCAGGACACAAGGGTGTCCCGAAGACATCTCTGTACCTGCCTGCCTCTGTGCAGAACTCTTGGATAGAGGGCCAAGGCCTGGAGCTGCTGAGGGAAAATAAATGACTTAGAGTTACGTTTTTTGCAGCTGTACAGCATACCTGCTTGCCCCCATACTTAGGGAGGAAGTTGAGGCTCAGAGAAGGTGTGCTACTTATCCGAGGTTGCATGGCAAAGCTGGGGGCATAAATTCCCAAGCATAGACATAAAGGCTGTGTGGCTCTCAGAACAGGAAAGTGGGAGAAATGGAGGGGGAGTAGACTGGAATGGTTGCTCTGCGTGGATGTCAGGCACTCCCGGGAAAGGCTGTTTGTCTCTGTTTGGCTTCCCTGGGGCCTACCTGGAAGCCCTGGGAAGACTCCTCAGGAGGTGTGTTGACCCAGAGCAGGCAACAGCTGTGAGCTCATCTCCCCTGAGGCCCCCAGGAAGTCGGGTACAAAGGCAGAAGAGACATGGTTGGGGAAGGAAGCAAGAGGAAGACAGTAAGGGCCTTTGGGATAGGTCATAAAGCCAAGCTCAGGTGTGGGGAAGGAAAAGGACATTTGCCAGACGCCTACTGTGTGCTGGGTCATTCCTGTGCATTGTTCTTTATGAACTCTTCACCAACCTCCTTGTTGGCCGGGTATTTTTTATTTCCATTGTACAGAGGAGCAGTGAGGCACTGGGTATGCCTGACACCAAAGTGTGGGGCCTTTACAGGGCATCTTGATGGGTGAGTGCCAAAATCAGGCCTTCCCTGGACTCATAGCCACAGCGAAGCCTGGGCTTCTCCTACTTCCAGCTCCGGTCAGCAGGGGGAGGCTGTGCTGCATCTGGTTTGCAGGAATTGGGAGCAGAGGTTGGGACTGGGTTTACTAGGACAGGAGGGGAGGCTTCTTTCAAAAGCTCCTGGATTTGGGAGCCCTTGGCCATGCCTCTGTGATGGCTGAAAGATAGGTAGGGCTTCTGCCTAGATTTGCTAAGCGGCAGTCTTGCTGCTGCCCCAGAATAAAGTTGAAACTTGTCAATTCAAGGCTCCCATAGCTTCTCCTCCCTCAAATACACCCATCCTTCCTATGTTCCACTACCATGTTTTTGCAAATACTCTTCTCTTGGCATGGGTGCCCTTTCTGTTCCTTTCTGCCTGGCCAACTCCTATTCATCCTTCAATACCTGTCCTCAATGCCACCTCTTGCAGCTTTCCTGAATTTCCCCCATCCCCAAAAGCTCCACCATGAATTATTTCATTTTTAAAGGGAAGGATTGTGTCTAAATCATCTGTGTGCCCCTGGTACCTAGCACAGGATGCCGCACAGAATAGGTGCTTAGTGGACAAATGGGCAAAATCCATCCCTCTATGGAGGTCAGGGAGCAAGGGTCTAACTGGGGTGGGAAGTAGGTGTGGGAGACACGGAAGACGAAGTGCTCATGCATCAGGCCTGTTCAGGATCATCCTGATGGAAGCCTAGGGGTGAACTTAAACTTTATTTCCCAGGGGTATCATGAGGGTCCAGGGAGATCTTGGATGTGAAAGAGTTCTGCAAACTGTAGTGTGCTGTCCCTGCTAGGTCCTTTTACTTCTCAACTTTGCCTTGTCCCCCCGGATGAGAGGCTGGAGAGAAATGCCACAGACTGAGGGAGGAAGCAGACCAGGCCTGGTGGGGGGTGGGGCTGATGGAAAGGAGTGCAGCCTCAGCCAGCTGTGGGGGCTCTCAGAGGCAAGGAGTGGGTGGGATCCTGGGTGGTGAAGGCCTGCCTTGGGACTCCCTCTCCTATGGGATCTAACATCTATCCAAGTTCCGTATGGCCCCAGAGATGATGTAAGCCTATGTCCTTCCAAAGAAGGGTAAGCTGAAGCCCAGAGAGAGGCAGGCATTTGCCCAAGGTCACACAGCAGGAGTGGGAGGCCATCCTAGGAGCCCTGTCCTCCCAGCATGACAGGTGTCCTCATCCTGGGCTCAGATCCAGACAGCCGTTTCCCTGATCCCTCCTCCTGGCCCCGCAGTCCCCAGGGCCCAGCCCGCACTACCCTACACCCCAGCCTGCCCTTAGGCACAGGCGCTAACAAGCACTGAACGCCCCGTGGATGGCGGGGTCCGGACAGCTCCCGACCATCCTCCTCCTTGACTCACCTCCAGCCCGGGAGGGCCGGGATCAACGGCAGCGGTCAGGACGCCGCCCGCACAGCCTGGCTGCGCCACCGCCCGGGACTCTTCCGGCGCGGCGAGGCTGCCCTCCTCGGCGCCCCCGGGTGGGGCAGGTCGAGCCCGGTGCGCTATCCCTTTAAGCCCGGGCGAGATGGGAACTGCCAGCGACAGCCGAGGCTAGCGCGGGACGTCGCCGCCCGTCAGGCCAGAGCAAGGAGCCGCGGAGCGAGCAGAGAGCGGAGGTGGCGGCGGGGCCGGGGCGCGGCAGGTCCCCTCGCCGCCCACTGAGCTCTCGAACCCTGGGTCCGGCGAGGCGGGCGGAGCCCAGTGTAATGCGGAGAATGTGAGAGGCAGCGCAGGGCGGTGGGGAGGAGGGGGCGCGGGAGAGGGCGGCGGCAAGATAGACGGAGAGACAGCGGGAGAGACAGAGGGCAGGGAACAGGGAGCAGGTGGGAGAAAGAAGAGGAGAAAAAAGGAGTGTCAGGGACAGGAAAGGGGGACAGAAAGGAGCGAGAGAACACGCGGCGAGGGCGGCGGCGCAGGCGAGGAGGAGGAGGCCGGCGCCTCTGGGTGCGAGCGCCGGAAGCCAGAGTTAGGCGCCCCGGCCGGGGTTCGGGCTGCGAGCGCTGCCGCGGCCAGGCCGGGCATGGTGGGGGAGAGGGGACGCCCGAGGGGCCCCCTCTGGGAACAGCGGGGGACCTGAGGCAGGGCCAGCCAGGGCAGAGGCGCAGGACCCACTCCACAGGCCCCGAGGGCCGTGCTCCGGAGGCTCCGGCTGGCCGGGGCAAGGGGGCCTTTGTGAGCGCCCCAGGAGTGCGCAGCCGGGTGTGCGGCCGCGGGGATGTGTGCGCGGGTGTGCGCGAGTGTGAGCGCCCAGGCGGGTGGGAACGCGCGTTAGGGATTCTGCTGGCATCGCAGCGTGGAGAGCAGGAGGCAGGAGTGGGGCGCGCAGGGGAGCGCGGGGCCCTCCCGCGCACACGCACACGCCGCGCGCGCGCGCACACACATACACACACGCACACGCCCTCCCTGCCTCGCTCGCTGCCGCTGTCACCATCTCAGAGCCGAGCCCTGCGGAGCGGGAACCCCAGCCGAGCGGAGCCGAACCGGGGAATGCGGTCCCGGAACGGAGCGGCGCGCGAAGTGCGCGCCCGGGACGGTGAGTGTGGCCAGGCCGGGACGCTGCGGCGGGGCCGGGGCCGTGGGGGCGCAGGCCGAGGAGCCTGGGTGTCTGCCCGCCGGCAGCGCCGCGTGCGCGGCCTCTGATTGGGCGGGAGCCTCGGGGGCAGCGGGTGGGGGTGGGGTGTTGGGTGCGCGCCCGTGGGGGGCGTGCACGCGCGGAGATGGATGGGGCGCGCTCGGCACCCCAGTCCGTGACCGCGCTCCCGCCCGCTGCGCGGCCCCGCCTAACCCTCGCCTGCCGCCAGAACCCCGGCGACTTGGAGCAACTTTGTGTGTGGGGGAGAGGAGATGGGGGCGTTTTAATGGTGGAATTCCGGCCTTGGCTTCCAGAGGAGAGAATGCGAGGGAGGCATGGGATGGGGGTGCGGGCTGTGCCGCCCGGCGGGCAGAGGGGTACATATCCACCACCCCTTCGGCGCAGCCGCCGGCTCCCTGGGACACCAGTCAGGCCCCGCGGCGCCGTGCTGGAGCCGCTCCCGGCGCTGGACTCCCGTGCCTTCGGCAGGGTCCGGCGGGACCGCACGGCGCCGGCTTCCAGGCCCGGGGGCCGCAAGGTCGTCTTTGCAGCCAGGCTGAGGACAACAGGGCTTGAGGTGGGAGTGGGGAGACGTGCCTTGTGTGTACGTGTGTGTGGTCCCGCACCTTCTGCCGCGTGGGACAGGCCGCTGGAAGAAGGGAGTGCTGGAAAGGTGATCACATTAGACCTGGCTCCCTGGCCCTCCCGAGAGGCCAGGCGTTGGAGGGGGGACCTCTAGGTCCGTGGCATGGTGCCCATCCCACTGCCCGCATGCCTTCTTTGCTTGGAGCCAGGCTCCTGCGTGCCTTACTATGTGTCAGGGTTGTGCTTGTGCTGTGTCCCCCACCACCCTCCTTGAGTCTCCTTCTACACCTCTGTGCTGGCTGCGGCAGGGAACTTCCTAGGCCCCCTCCCCAAATGGCAGCCCTGCCCTTCAGAAGATACAATGAGGACTTGTGGTCCCCTGAGAGGAGGGAACCGTGTGCTCCCCCAGAACCCCCCCCCAATGAGAGGCTCCAGGAAGGGTCAGAGGTCAAGGCCTTTCCCTTTACAAATCCTCCCGGCTTCCAGGGCAAGTTCTTCCTCCTCTAGGAAGTCTTCTCTGATTGCTCCTCAGTCTGTCCTTCCAACTTGGGTTTCTGGATTGGAGCATCTGGATTCCCCAGCAGCCCTTATTCCTATGCTCTCTCCCGGCACTCAGTGTGTGAGCCTGTGGGGGTCAGAAGTCATGGTCTCAGCCTGCATGTTAGCTGGAGGGGTGTGATGCTGGAATAGTATCTACCTGGCTCTCTGGGGGATGTTAATATTTTGTTTGACCAGCTTTGAGGCCTAAACCTTAACTTCCACTTCATCGTCCCTCTGGAATCTCTCGGCCACCTTGTGAGAGGCCGGTGGCCACGCTTCCACTCCATTTCACAGAGGAGGATTGGGAGGCAGAGATGGAGCCAGAAGTCCAGGGTCAGGACAGCAACTTTCCACTATGAAAGTATCCTTTAACTCTGGTCTTTGGTGAGGTGGGGAGGGGCAGGGAGGGCACTCATGCCCCCTTGGTTGACTTGGCAGGGAGGCTCCGGTGGCCTGCTAATGGGGGGGTGGCCCCCCAGGGCAGCTGTTCTACTGCCTGTGACACACCCTCTGTAGATGGGCAGGAAGGTGGGTACAGCCACTGTCAGCCTGGCTCTCCGTGGCTTGACTTCCGGCACCTCTTGACCCCAGCTTCATTAAGCTTTGCTTCCTAGATTTGGGGCCAGAGCCTACCTGGGCTCTGCTTGATGGTTTGCAAACCTGGTTCTTGTAATCTTCAGCACTGGGACGTCAGTGTCATCCTGGGTATCAGAGGGGTTCCCCACCCCCAGCCTGGAATGGCAGGGTAGACCCTGGCATTGTCCTCCTCCTTGGGCCCTGGAATCCTTCCCAGTCTCCTGAGATCTCCATCCCGGAGCCTCATGTGGGCCAAGGAGCTCACCCTCAGGCAAATGGGTTCCCCATAGGAGCCCAAATGTGCATGGGGGAGGGGGGATGGATTCTGGTTACTGTTGGGACCACTTCCTCCCCAGGTGGCCCACCTGAAGCACAGAAGCTGGAAGAACTCTCAGCCCCAGTCAGGCTTCTGTGAAGCCCCCTCCTCCCCTCCAGCTGCCGACCCCAGTGACCCCAGCGCTGCCTTGGTCCTTAGAGGCCTCCTGGGCAGGGGTGAGGAGGGGGGAGAGCTGTTGCCCAGGAGTGACCAAAGCTCCCCAGAGGGAGCTGGGGGTGCTACTGGATCCTGTGCTCCTCCAGCCTTTTTGCTGGCTTCATGCTCAGGTAGCTTCTCTCTGCCTCTCCTCATCTCTTCCTGCCCTGCTCTCGCTCAGTGGCCTTTCTTCTTTTTTTTAATATCTGAGATTGAGGTTTCTTTTTTAATGTTTTTAAATGTTTTATTTATTTTTGAGAGAGAGATAGAAACAGAGTGAGCAGTGGCGGGTCAGAGAGAGAGGGAGACACAGAATCAGAAGCAGGATCCAGGCTCTGAGCTGTCAGAAGAGTCTGATGCGGGGCTCGAACCCACGAACTGTGAGATCATGACCTGAGCCAAAGTCGGATGTTCAACCGACTGAGCCACCCAGGCGCCCCACTCAGTGGCCTTTCTTAGCCATTGTTCTCTTGCTGTCTCTCCCTCCCCTCTCCCAACTCCCCCCGCCCCAGTCGTGGCTTTCTGAGCATGGCCAGGTGCCTGCTTGGTCCCACCCCTGCCATCCAGGTCTGCTTGAATCCCTGCCCTGGTTCTTCTGGCCCCCTCCTCACCCAAGTACTCTAGCAAGCTGAGCCCTCCATTTGGGGTTGCAAGCCATGGAGGCAGGGGGAGAGAGCAGGGTACTTCTTTGGCCCCTGGTCTGTGCAGTCAGGGGTGTGAATCCCAGTCAGGTGCTCCCAGCCCCAACTTGCTGCCCCCTTTAGGAAGACAGCCACCCCCCCCCCCAAAACCTCCTGACTGAGAAGGGGTAGTGCCCAGTGTGCCCTCCTCCCTTTCCCTCTCCAGCCAGGCCCTGACCCTGCCATGGGTGTGTTTTAAATTATAAAGATATTCTAACAAATTCAGTGATAAGTTGTTGGGTGGCCTGGGCCTTGGGGTGACTTGAGGGGATAAAAGTTAGCCCTGACCACTGAACCCTCTTTTAGGGGGAACTTGGGGCCACTCTACATAGGCTTCTGGGGCCCAGACATCTGGCCCCAAGAACCACGCTCCTCATTGCCTACAATTGTACAGTTGGGGCCCGCTCCACATTTGGGTACATCTCCTGGTTTGAGGCCTGGGCTGAGTTCTGGGGATTCTGATGACAGGCCTGGGCCCCTCCCTGGGTGGGCTCTGAATGGGGACACGGATGTCCACCCACACCCCTGGGTATGAGGCAGAATGGGCCGGGCAGCTGCAGAGGTATGCGAGACGGTGGTTGGCAAGGGGTTATTTCGGCTGGACTGGAAGGCCAGTGCATTTTGAGCTGCTCAGATGTTTCTGGCACTTGGTGGATACTCAGGAAATATGGTGAATAAATGAGTGAATGGGGACCATGAACAAAGTGAGGGCCTTCCAGGCCGATAGCACAGCATTAGCAGAGGCACGGCGGTGGGAAACACTGGGCATGGGTAGAACGTGTTTGCAATGGAGTAGTTCCTGCTGGGGCACAGCAGGCGCAGAGCAGGTTGGTACCAGACACAGGAGGATCCTGAGTGCCCGACTGAGGAGTGTGGGCTGCTTCCGTATTCAGGGGTTGCAGGGTTGAAGTTCTGGAGGGACGCGAGCAGATTTGCAATTTAAACCACTCCCTCTGGTGGTTGCGGGTGGGGTTGGCCTGGACTGGCCGGGACAGCCGCAGGCTGTGAGGTGATCCTGAGGCTGCTGTGGATCCAGGTGGGTGGCGAGGGCAGTGACAGAGACAGGCCAAGGGGATGTGCCTGGTTTCCCACGCTGTGAAGGAGGGAGAGGTTCGGCCCGGGGAAAGAGCCGGGTGGGGCAGTGCAGCTAACCAGAGTGGGGCAGGACCTCCTGTCTATCACCATTCCCATCACCTGGGTGTACCCAAGTGACAGGTGTCCTAGACTCACAAGATGCAGCTGATAGTACTGGCCCTCCTACTGCGTGCGCTTGAGCAAATCCCTGAGATCTCTCAGACCTCTGTTTCTATGTCTGTAAAATGGGTAAGTTTGTCTCCATGGAGGCCTGGGGTGAGTCTGGGTGGAAGTTTGATTCCACACTGCTGTTTGATAGAAGAAGCATTGAGGCCCAGGCAGGGGTGGTGACTTGAATAATGAGGTCACAGAACACGTTGTGGGCGGGGTGTTCTGGCTTGGGGTTTTCCTGGCGGCACCTATGGCCTGCTGGGCAGGGCTGGGTGGTGTGGCCAGGCCCTTGGGCCTCTGCAGAGGACATCCTCAGGCAGTTGTTCCCGCAGTCCAGCTGTCAGGGGGCATATGGGGCCATATGGCCATATCAGGGGAGGTGCCAGCCGCTGAAGGATGGTTAGCGGCTGCCACCCTGGGCCTTCTGGATCTCTGTGGGCACAGCCAGCCATCAGGGTCAGAGCGGGAGGAAGCCAGAATGGAGCCTTAGTGTCCAGGTTGGTTTGGACATGGGGGGGGGGGTGTCTTGGCAGGTGGCCCAGTTCTAGCACGCATCTGCCAGGGCAGCTGGACAGGCGGCTTCATGCCCAGGACTGATCCAGTTAGCTCAAGCCCAGCTGTGCCAGCCACCCTCCGTGCCCCACCCAGCTCTGACGGCCGTGCTCTCCACCGGCCAGCGGGGTGGTACAGTACATCTGATGTTGGGGATTCAGGCCCCCTCGGAGTCTATGTGTGAGATTCGTAGCCTCACCCTGAGCACTGGTCTGTAGCTCTAAGATTTTGGGGTATGGAAATGGGTTCCTTGAATCAGCCTGGTAGGATCAAAAAGGACCTGGGCTTGGATGCCATCTCGAGCTGGGTTT